AAGTTAGGTTCACCCAAATGGCCATTGAGACGTAACCCCAACTTTCTTGAATAGAAGAGAAAAGGATTTGGGACTGTTCATTTTTTGTCAACATTTGGATAGTTAATAAAAACTATTAGATGACACTCGAAAGGTATTTGTGATTTTGTATCTTTCAAATGTCACTTAACAAGTACTAGATTGGCACATTTTGAAAGTTCGGGTATTAAATTTTGCGATTTAAAGTTTGAGGACTAAAGAGGCACTAGGCCCAAAGTACAAGGTACTAATCGGGAATTTTCCCTAATAATAATTATAATTAATAGTGATATTTTTCTAGCAACTATTAAAAGTTAAGAAATTAATAAAAATTAGTAGTTCATAAGTTAAAAAACTAAAATACAATTTAATTCTATTTTGAGATAATTAATGTTAATAGGATAATTAAAATTCATAATAAAAAGTAAAAATTATGAAAATGGTAAAATAAACCATTTGTATTCCATCTAAAAATTATAGAAATTAATTAAAATAATAAAACTAATAATGAGCAAATTATAAATGTCACAAGACTTCTTCTTAGGGATGATTCTTTAAAACTTAGCCCAACACACTTAAACCTACAAATTTCTGAGCTCAAGCAAATATTTTCTTTTAAGTTAGGTCTATCTCATATCATGTGAGTAGTAGGGATAATTAAAATTAATAGTAAAAAGTAACAAGTCATTTATAAATTAGCCCAACTTGTCTAGACCTATAAATTTTCAGACTTAAGTAGTGTGAGTTAGGTCTAGCTCAAGTCTGCACCAAGGCACACATAATGTGGACAACAAGATTATAAATTGACTAGACTCAAATCACATCCAGCTACATCCTCGATTATGAAATTTCTTGATTCACATTGTATAATACTTACACATAATATTATAATATTTGTATGTATACATAATTATATTACATACATATAAAATAATATTTTTATTAGACGAGGATTTTAATCAAATTTGATGGGGTTAAATCCACATCCAATCGAATTATTAATCAAATGCAAGTTATAACATCCAACTCTAAGATAGTCAAACTTGAAGTCTAATCGGTATCGATCTTTTGGAGGCCAATAACATTCCCAGCGGGTAGGGCCCAAGCTAAGCAACCCCCGAGCTCAACTTGGAAGTTATATGGACATATAATAAATATTATTCTATAATATTTAAAAAACAAATTTTATATTGATAAATGTTATATATATATATATATATATATATATATATTTTCTTTTAAATAAACTAAAATTAAATAAAAATTTTAATTTGTAAAAAAATTATAGTTTTATGATTAGCACGAGGAAGCATGTCCATGTCCTAGGCCTAAACAAATATTATTACTTGAGGTGTGGATCAGGCTAGATAAGGCAATCTTAAAAGTTGTTAATACGCTATCAAAATTTAGCCCGGGATTTTTTATTTTTTTGGTTTATTGGGCTACACAATGGGGGTAGCACATGCCCCATAGATCTTTCAGCTTCAATATTATCTAGAAATAGTTAAAAAAAATACCCAAAAAAGGGAATGCATGCATAGGTTGCACTCAGGTCTTGTTCATTTTCTCTTAACTCTTTTATTTTAAGAGGAATCTTACAACTCTTAAACCACAGAATTTAAAACAACATTCTCAGCATTCATAACTCAAAGGAAAGAAAAAATCATTAATACCAATATACCTCTTGATATAATTATTGCACTAAATGAAAAAACCCTTAGTTTGGTTTAGTCCAATTATGACTGCCATAGTGTGTGCAACTTGCATGGACTATGTTAGGATGAGGATCAATCCAAGCCTAATCCAAAGTTTTAAACCTTATGTCCGGGCTTAAATTAATTTAATTATGACTATACTTAATTTTATATATTTAGTAATAGTTAAGTATTTTAAATGTTTAAGTGATATTTATAAAAAAAAATATAACATTTAATCATTAATAAAATAAAACACTAATAGATAATATGGAAAAAGTAACTATTTTATTAAGTAATTGTAATAATTTATTATTTTTTAAAAAATTAATATAATTAATCCAAATTATTAAATTAATAAATTATTTTTATAACAAATTATTCAAGTAAAGATTTTAAACAATATGTCAATATTACGTTTCTTCTTTTTTCTTTAATCAATCGCATATTTGCATTGGATTTCGCACGTGAGAAGAACGCGGTGAGAACGTGATTTCCATACCATAGTCCATAGAGGTGTTTCTGCACACCGTACGTGTGGCCTCTCGAACCTCGTGTGACCTTATAAACCGTCTATAAAATGAGAAATGCCTCCTCGCCATTGTCGTCAATCGTCATTTTATAGAGCAACACAACTGCGAGGCAGAGCAAAGCAAAGCAAAGCAAAGGCACTACAGGAGTCAGGAGACAGGAGGTAGAGGACTCCTCCCCTCACCTCTCTCTCTCTCTCTCTTTCTCTCTCTATCGTCATAATTTGTGCCCCTCCCTCTTTTTCCTCCTCAAATGGACGTCCGCCGGAGACCCACCAAACCTCCACGTCCGGCCATGGCTGCACCCGGCGGACCTCATCAACAGCATCAGCTTCACAAATCATCCAAGGTTGTTGATCATACCGGTCCCCCGACTCCACAAGCCTCTGATGCCCTCCCTCTCCCTCTCTACCTCACCAACGGCATCTTCTTCACCCTCTTCTTCTCCGTCGCCTACTACCTTCTCCACCGCTGGCGTGACAAGATCCGTACATCTACCCCTCTCCACGTCGTAACCCTCTCCGAGATCGCCGCCATCGTTTCTCTTATCGCCTCCTTCATTTACCTCCTCGGCTTCTTTGGCATCGATTTTGTGCAGTCCTTCATTACCCGTGCCTCCCACGATGCCTGGGACGTCGACGACGAGAACGAACACGAACAGTTCCTCCTCGAGGAGGACCGTCGACGCGGTCCATGCGCCGCCGCGGTTGAGTGCCCCCCCATCCCTCCTCACAAGGCATCCCTCCCTCCTCTTCCGCCTGCTGCTGTTCTTCCTCCCAAGATTGTGGACCCTGCCCCCCTCATCACCCCTTCATCAGAGGAAGATGAGGAAATCATCAAATCGGTTGTCGCCGGTACCATTCCCTCTTACTCGCTCGAATCCAAGCTTGGAGATTGCAAGCGTGCCGCGGCAATCCGCCGTGAATCCCTGCAGAGAATGACGGGAAGGTCCCTTGCGGGGTTGCCATTGGAGGGTTTCGACTACGAGTCCATTTTGGGGCAATGCTGCGAGATGCCAGTCGGGTATGTCCAGATTCCGGTGGGAATCGCTGGTCCATTGTTGCTTGACGGAAGGGAGTTCACAGTGCCAATGGCCACCACGGAGGGATGCTTGGTGGCGAGCACCAACAGGGGTTGTAAGGCAATTTATGCCTCCGGCGGGGCCACTAGTGTGTTGATGAGAGACGGGATGACTAGGGCGCCTGTCGTGAGGTTTTCCACTGCCAAGAGAGCTGCGGAATTGAAGTTTTTCATGGAGGATCCATCCAATTTCGAGACATTGACAGTTGTCTTCAACAAGTAAGTTCCATGCCTTCTGTAAATACCACTTATTTTCCATGTTTTTTCTCATTTGATAGATTACTGGTTTCATGGGTTGTTTTGATTTTATTTACACACACTAATATTTATTTTTTCCGGGTTGTCTTTTAACTTTTCTTGGTGCGTTGTCTTTCTGGACTTTTCAACCTGTAACGTGTTCTTTATTCTTCTTTTCTGAAAATTAGTCATAGATTTCATACTTGGAGTCTCGGAGATTTGGTCAATTTTGCTGTTTTTTTTTTTTAATTTCTTAGTTTGTTTCCTTTTGAAGACTTTGATTTGCCTGGCTTAATGAAGAAATGGTTTCTTTTCTCTTGACTTATTGTCAAAATTGAGATCATTTGGATGTTGATGTGTTGTCGTGACTGAGGAACTCTGCTACCTAGCTTGATCTTTATGTGGTTGCGATTTCCACCTTCTCTTTTTAATGCTTTTAATCCCATTAAAAAGAATTCGATTGATGGTCAGTTCTTAGTTGTAGTTTCTTCCCCCATGTTAGAGAATTGGGTATTATCGTAAAGAGATTGTTATGCTTACCATGGATATCCCGTTTGCTACTGGTTGCAGATCTAGCCGATTTGCCAGGCTACAAAGCATCCAATGCGCAATTGCGGGAAAGAATCTCTACGTGAGATTTAGCTGCAGCACTGGCGATGCAATGGGGATGAACATGGTATCCAAAGGCGTACAGAACGTCTTGGATTTCCTTCAGAACGATTTCCCCGATATGGACATTATTGGCATCTCTGGTTAGATCCCCGAAACTTTTGCTTGTCGATACGAAGTTTATGATTGAGAGGTGATTTTCAGAAAATATTTTCCAGTTCCCAATTGCTGGTTCGATGATCTCGTTTGTTTCATTTTGGGAATTGGCCAGGTAATTTCTGTTCAGACAAGAAGCCAGCTGCTGTAAATTGGATTGAAGGGCGTGGGAAGTCTGTTGTATGTGAGGCCATCATTAAAGAAGAGGTGGTTAGGAAGGTTCTGAAGACCAGCGTTTCCGCCCTGGTGGAGCTCAACATGCTCAAGAACCTTGTTGGGTCGGCAATGGCCGGGGCACTCGGCGGTTTTAATGCTCATGCAAGCAACATCGTGTCTGCAATTTTCATAGCGACTGGCCAAGATCCCGCACAGAATGTGGAGAGCTCTCACTGCATCACCATGATGGAAGCTGTTAATGATGGAAAGGACCTGCACATCTCTGTGACCATGCCCTCCATCGAGGTAGCTGACCTATCCTCCCCTAAAGGCTAAACTAACCCCTTGTCTCCATTCTTCTCCATTATTTTAATATTCTTTATTTCTTCTCACTGTATCAAGTTGGATTCGGTTAGCTAGCTCTTTACGGTTTTACAGCCTCCTCCATAATCATAAGAAATGTTTCATCATCTTTTTATTTGTGACTGCCCTTCACTCTAATCTCATGGAAGAAAAAGAAGAATAAAAAAAGGAAGTTTTTCTAAGGCCTGGTATTTCTTTCCTGTAAAAGGAAAAAGTTTTCAAAGTTTTCATCACGATCAGAATTGTTTAATTTCGACTTGGCCGGGAAAGAGTCAGTGCTCCTGCTTGTTTGAATTAAGACTATTTCTAGATCCTATCCCCTAGGGGGGAGCCGGGGAGGTTCCTGGGAAATGGCTTTCAGCATCAGTTCCCATTTAAACTTTTGAATCAACCCTGTCATGGAGCATATTGTTTATTTTTTAATCTACGGAATACAGACCTAATTATTATTCAGAACTCATATTCTCATCTATAAAACTAATTTGATGGGTTTGTTGCAGGTGGGCACAGTTGGTGGGGGAACCCAACTCGCATCTCAGTCAGCTTGTCTGAATCTGCTTGGCGTGAAGGGTGCTAGCAAAGAATCTCCAGGAGCAAATTCAAGGCTGTTGGCCACCATCGTAGCTGGCTCTGTATTGGCAGGGGAGCTTTCTCTCATGTCCGCGCTTGCAGCCGGGCAGCTTGTGAAGAGTCACATGAAATACAATAGATCAAGCAAGGATGTCTCTAAAGCTGCCTCTTAAGCCGGGCAAAAAGATAGGGACCTACCATGAAAGAACAGAAGCACAAAGCAACAAACTTCTCAAAAAAAAAAAAAAAAAAGTTCAATAATAAAATTTTAGTGAGGTGGGGAGAGAGAGAAAAGAACGACAGGTTGTTTGGGGGAAGGTGGGGAGGGAGAAAAAGGAAGCTTGAGAAAGAAAATCCAGTAGATGAGACAGCAAGCCTGGTTGTATTCAGTATACATATTAATTTTCTTCTTTAAAAAATTCAAGCCTTGTGAAATTGCAGAGTTTCATAGCTGGATGGACTGCAATTATGTAAAAAAGGGTTGTTTGAAGGGGGGTGGGGCCTAACATACATATTTGGTTTGGTTTTTCTCAGACTCCGCCATTTGTCGGTATTAAAGAGCCTGCAAAGGTTTGGTTTGGCTTAGTTTGATATGGTTATATTTTTCTCGCGGTTGTGGGCCTTTTCCCCCATCTCTGTTCTTTCTGTGTTGTTACTGCAATTTAGTTTTTACCCCCTGTTTTTTTATGTAGTGTAGGAGAAGGAGATCAACATCTCAAATTTGATTTATAATTGTTTGGTGAAGTCATAGTCATAGTACCTGTTATTTTGTATTATTTTCGTTTATCTATAGCACCTTTTCATCAGATGTGCTTGTATTTTTCTTCTCCGTTTTTTCTTTCTTTGCCGTTTGCGTTGGATCTTTTACGAAAATCATTAGTTAAAATTTTACTCTACTCACTTCAATATTGACTACACATCAATCAACAACCTCGACCCAATATAGATTTCCATTTACTTGAAAGTGATCTAATTTCTGTATGCATTCCTGCTGGAGTGTATTGTGGTGAGAGGTGACAAAGCTACTAGAGGCCTTGATTACATCTTTTATCCAGATATCGTGTTGTGTACAGTGTAATATAATGTAACCTATGGAGGTGTAGGGTTGGTTACATGGCTGTTCGGATCTGTAACTTGATCGAGTTGAACGGAAGGCTTGTCAAAAGACTCCTGCAACTTGCAATCCACGGTGGAGTGGAGTTAACAGAAGATTTGTTACTTGTAAAGCATCGCCTTCAATACTAATCGGATTAAAGTCTCAACAGAAAATTTGATCCTAGGGAAGAAAGACATTGCCTCCACTTCTAAAGATGTGCTGCTGTAAGGAAGAGTGTTGCAGCTGAGTTAATTCCAACAGCTCCATCAATGTTAATTTTTATTGAGTTGGTCTCTGGTGCAAGTGCAACCCAAACTTCTTCGTGGTTAGAATGGTCTGCACTTACAGCTGATTTGATCCCTGTTAATAACCATTCTAACCACGAAGTTTGGATTGCACAGGAGATCGGAGATAACCGGAATGGTTTGCACCTCCTGAGCTCGCAACAACAACAGTATGTCACAAATGACCAACAACTACTTGGTGTCTTTTTTGTGCATTCAGATGTGTCATCTAATGGACACAAATTTATAAAGGAGCCTCGCTCATGGGAGTAATGTATCTTGCTCAGCCTGGGTTCCTCGCCTGAAATGATGGTCGTACTCTCCATTTACTCGGTCACTTGTGCTGTCAAAGGTTCAAAAAATCGACATGTATTGGCACAAGCCGATATGTATCATATCGGGAGCCGATGTTCAAAGTATCGTTACGTATCAATTGATATGTATCATTCGGGGATCCTTCCAATACACCCTTACAGTGGGTGTATTGGGGGTCTGACTGGTTTAAGGGATGGAGGGGTCCTAGACAGGCTCCCCTGAACCAGTTTTGAAAAATAAAAAAATAAAAAAAAAGTAAAAAAATGAGTATCGAAATTCCCGATACGCATCTACTAGTGTACTGGGCATATCGATATTTTAAACCTTGTCGGGAGTACCCCAAATATGCCCCTACAGAGGATGTATCAGGGTTTTGACTGGTTCAGAGGCGTAGAAGAACCTTAAACTGCCCCCTGAATCAAATTTAAAAAACAAAATTAAAAAAATGAAAAAAAAATATATCAATACTGCAGCATATCGGATGTATCAATATTTAAAAACTTGAGCACTGTTATTATAATTATAAATTATTTATCTATGTAAATGCAACTATTTGGATTTTGGGTAAATGCTTTTTAGTCTTAAAAAAACACTTGGCCCTTATTGTAAGTGTACGCATCGGTTCGTTTTCAAGTAAAATTTTACAATGGCTGTTTTTTCCATAAATAGTGTCATTATTGAAGAAAAGGGCTACGGTGTATTACTTAGCCTGGAGCCATTTGGAAATCATTCTTTTTTGCAGGACCCGTTAGTATTGAAACACAAATGTGTGTTTCCTAGGACCTACAAAATTATACACCTTATTTATCACGTGTCCATTAATGAGTTGCCATCGTTCTGATCGACACATCAATGAATTTCCCATTTTTCTCCAATATGATTGATCATCGCTATTTGACCGTATCCGATGTTAATAAGATGCATTGATTGGAGTTGGAGTGGGAAGATAAGAACGAAGATGCTGTGATGCATTTTCTTTGGCCTCTCTTAAATAAGTAAATACACAATTCAGATATTCTACCACCGACATTAATTACATTGAAAATATCTCCTCATGAATAATAATATCTCTTCATTGAAAATATCTCCTCATGAATGATAATGATGTAACCGTTTTTTGTCACGTACCATTTTTTGTGATGTATAAATTTTTTGGCTAAGTACCTCGTGTTTGACCTGGTGGTGACGTGCCTTGGTGATGAGCTACTTGGTGGCGAACT